TCCGGTGTGCATGTTTACATTCACGTACATCGGATGAAGACCCACACCTTCTTTACAATTTGCTCGTCTAAAAGAAAACAAAGATAGAACCAAAAAAAACTTTATCGAAAATTTATTTTTACCCTTTTCTCATATGGACGTAGATGGCCTCATACGCTTCATCGAACATATTTAAATCTTCTCTTTCACCGAACAATATATAATTCTACAGCAAATTAATATTTTCAGCTTTTTTTAAGAAAAAGGAGTTGAATACATACTTTTAATAAATACTCAAAAAATGAATCTATCCCAGCGCCGAGACCAGAACTCTGACTTAACCATTCACCAGTTTCGACATCAATGACATTTCCTAGAGGGCAGAACAAAAACAATTTTCTGAAGTATAACATACGATGCAAAAGTCTTTGGAATAAATGTCGAGTCTCATGCCCCAGCAATGGAACGTAAGATGGACTAGAATTTTTTTTGTTTGAAAGAGCAAAGTCTGGAGAATAAAAAAGGTCAAAAAAGTTTAAACTTGAGGTTCAGTTTGTTGCAATAAAATACAGATACAGGAGCACCATTGGACACATCTTTAAAATCGGATTTTTCAATACTTTCTGCCCCTCGTTTTTCGGAGTTTGAACTAAACATAAACACAAGTAGAGGTTTACCAGCCCTATCGAATGGTGTATCTACAGTAGTTTTGGTTACGTTTTTGATGCGAAAATTCTATTTTTCGAAATGTTTCATCACCTGGAATATAGATTTAACAGAAAGTGCAAAACTAAGAAAAACAGTTCGTTTACAAAAGTTCCAAAACGTAAGTGGGAAAATTTTCGAGAGATATAGTTTGAATAGAGTTTTTTCAAGCGGAAAAATGTTCTCGCGCAACACAAATTGACTGAGAAAAAAATTGATTTCTAGAGAAATTTATTCTCCAGACTTCACTCTTTCAAACACAAAAAAATTCAAGTTGAATCCTAAAAGAAAGTCCTATTGAGAAATGAGATTCGACACTATTCCAAGGGCTTTTACATCGTATGTTATACTTGAGTCCTATCACTGTTACCTAATAGACCAGTAATTTGATTGCGTTTTGTCCATAGAGAATTAACCGCCCGCCGTGCGACACGTTCAAATATGGGATCACCAATTAATCGACTTAATATTGTGAATTCTAACGATAGACTTCCTGCTCCGGCAGTCGATGTATCGTTTCTCATACCTGATACAACGCCAGTTAATAGATTCACCTAACGTAGAAGTATAATCAGCTAACCATTCTTTTCAAACTTTATAAACACATACCCGAGGATATGGTAGATCATGAGGTGCATTTTCAAATGCCGGTAGTAATCTTGACGCTAAATCATGTGCTAAATCGAGTAATTCATTGTTATAGTTTGATGGAGCAAGATTTCCAAATGGTTGTAAGGGATCAATTATCAGTAAATGAGCAGATAACAAAGCACCAAGCACTCTAAAAGAACAAAAACAATCATATTTCTCTAGTAGAAAAATACAAAAAAATATCGATTACCTTATAGTGGCTTCAAATACTTGTATCGTGATATTTCTGTTGAATCGCACGTGTTCAATAACAAGCTTGACGGCATGCTGAAATTCAGTTGTGTTGCCCATCACCTACACCATGAAATATGTTTCATAATTGACGATTAACAAAATAATTTAGCCATCTGCGAGATATAGATTACTCTGATTATAAAAGCGAGATATCAGTTATTCCATTCTAGATATTTTTTTGTGTTTTTATTTGTTAACCTTCTTTTTCATTTTTCTTTTGACTTTTTACATATTCCATAACCTTACAGGCATCCGTTCTATTAAGACGAGGAGCCCTGTTTAGATTTTCTTCAAACTATCCCAGTTTGTAGAGGATACCTCTAAGTGTCCTAAAGTTTTTTCGGCTTAATGACATTACCTGGCTGAGAAAACATTTTATTACTTAAAAAAATGTTGCTAAGTTCTGGACTTACCAGACCTAGTCAACGACCAAAAATAAATTCTGATGTAGCCCATCTTGTAGCCCGTGAAATTCTCTATCAGATGAGTATTGCTTGAATTTTTTCGTTGAGCCGTTATTTTGCAAATGGGACTTAAACTGGTAGCCTAGACTAAATGAACGTTAATTACCACATCCATTCTATTGGGTGGCCCAGAATAAATGGCCCTCCGCGTATTTTGCTTATAATTTCTTTTCAATCCTTAGACCTGATCGTTCTTCCAGAAGATGCGCCGTCAAATTCTCTACAAGGCTTGATCAAATTTATTTCCATAAAAAATTAAAAAGAAAAATGAAACGAGGAATACTCAACACGCTGAAAAAGACCAACTTTCTAAGCCGAAAGAACGTTTTGTTCCAGCACTTTCATTGAGTTGGATGATAAAAAGAAGAATATACGCATTTTGCATTGAAAAACTCTATCAACCAGTATTAGGTGCACAATGCAAAATCAATCTTTGAGGTTTACATCGACTTTCTCCTCTTTGAGGCGTTACAAAATCCAGCTATTTCAATGTGCATATTCGGAGCTTCTGGAGAACGCTCCATAACGAAGCCAAAATAGCACTTTTTTAGCTCGGTCTTTTCTATTTTGATGAGAAATGATACTTGTGCCAGATTCAGCTGCGAAAGTTATCTTGACGCTTTCTTCATAAATTCACCTGCCGAACAATAGCAGATGTTGGTCACCTTCAGTTGACTTTTGGAATGTCAGATTTTTCAGTGCTCATTTAGATTTGAAAGAACTGTGGACTGTATAAGAAGAGAGTGCATACTTCAAAGTATGTAACAAATATCTCCACTTTTGTTTCATTGTCTTTAGAGTTACTTAAAATATCCCAAAATTTGTAAAACAAAATAGCTAAGAATGTTGGTCCTTTTCGTCTACAGTCGTACTTATAAAATAACGGATCAACGAAAAAATTTGAGCAATACCTCATCTGATAAAGAATTTTACTGGCTATAAGACAGACAACCTTAAAATCTTCACATTACCTTACGGCTAGTTTCGCTCGAAGAAAGCATTTTAAAACAAAAGTTGTTCAGTATCGAATTCTAGAGTTTCTCACCTCACTCTGAACTTTTTTCAAGATTTTCTTTTTTTGATTTTAAAACTGAAAAATATGAAAATTAAAAAAACCTTTTATTTTAGGTTCATTGGAAAGGTGAAAGTTAAATTTCTTCATTAAACTTCATTCGGGAACGATGAAACTATTTTACCGTATTTTATATAATGTCCTCTATCAAACTACGCTCGAATCAACTCTTCATATCAAAAACTGAAGTTTTTACTGAAAGTCTAAAAGTGACACGGCAGGAAAAGAGCATCTAAAAGTTGACGCTTTTTGGCAGACGTTTTTTAGTAAACGGTTTGGAAAAGATGTTTCTTACAAGACACCTTTTAGGAAACGCTTTTAAGAGACGGTTTTATGTAGCCGCTTTTCTAAAGACGATTGCCAGTATGTGTTATTTGAGTATGATTTTCTAGAGACGCTTCCTCGACGGCGCTTGTATCATCCCGAAGGCTGGTACTGAAGATAAACACTGTTTATTAATAAACATGGCCATGTCTGGAGAATAAGTAGTACCATTTATCGTTACGCTTTTCGTCGCTGATGAAAGATACTGATAAATGTACCTTAGAAATAAATGCAAACATAAGTTATCGGCTATGCTGAATCTCGTGGCAATATTATTTTTCGGAATAGAATTAAAACCTACAATATGTGAAATTACTCATTTTTAGCTGTTTTCACAGAAAATTAAGAAATTCATAACTCATTCAGTTTTTTCCTAGATACATGTGCTAAAGTGTCCTCTATCGAACACCGAAAACCGCAGGTATATATCTCTTTTCAATCAAATGTTATTCAAAAAGCATCGGAGGCCACTCTGTTTTGAAACGGATGGTAATTTTGTTAAAAAAACTCAAAATGGCACCCACCAAAACCTGTTTTAGAACGACTGTTCTTAAGGCCGCTCTAAAAGTCTTAACGAAACGGAACGTTTGGGGCTTTCACCGTTACTGGCTACATCTCTGCAGGATAGTCGGTAGTTGAACTACTAATAAAACTGACGATTATTTGATGTCGTTTGCTGATGGTTCTTGATCAAAATAGACGACATGTGATGCTCTTAACTTACCGCTAATGTGTCTAAACTATCCACTAGTCCCAGCGAATAATTTCCCAACACATCGTTAATATTTATATTGTCACTAAAATAAAACCCAGCGATATACTCCTGTAAACCTACTTTAATTGCTTTCTTTCCTTATACACACATTTTTCTCTTCTAAACTCACGGTTTCTCGACATCGGGACCTCGTCCACAACAATGAATCGGATCTAGTTCATCTAATGGGAATGCATATTTCATGTAATTATCGTAAGCAAATTGAAACATTTTCGTCGATTCATCAAGCAATCTTAAACGCTCATTCGTTGAAAAATACAAATATTTGTCGTATTGTTTTCCATAATAGGAGGAATTATCGATAGCAGTAAAATTATCTTTTGTAGACAAAAATGTATCGAGTAGTGCTTGTGATGTAGGATGACGTCTTGCTTTTGGTTTTAATAGTATGGAATAATCAAACTGATTAATTGCCCGTAAACATGTTGGGAAAAGGAAAAACAGAAAAATGAAGAGAAGTTTTAAAATATTTAAGTAGAATAAACGCATTTATAAACGAAAGTCAAATGAACGAAATAAAAACGAATAATAGAATTATTTGACTTAGATGTGGATATGGTAATTATTGTTGATAATGAATGTAATAAACAAGAGCAAGATCTTGAACTTAAAGTCGTGCATCAATTCTGTACAAATGTTTAAAGAGCTGTTTGGCATTGTTTCTGAAAGATAGGATACAGTTAGCGCGTAGCTTCGTTTCTTTACTTCTGTATTTTTGCACCTTTTAAATTATTTCTCTCTTTCACGTGTGCATGAAACGTGTCAAATTACCATGCGAACGATATTTTTGAGGCAGCTTTTCTGTTTTACGAAGGAAAACAAAACAACCAGAAAAATCGTTCTTGCCCGCAAAAAACCTTCTTTTTGTTTCAGTGTTGGATTATTTTACGGAGTATTAAATAAATAAAAAGAATTTGAAAAAGAACGAAACAAAATTTACCTCGACTACAAAACTATATAAGAAAGATTAATTTTCTTATTTCCTTTTGATGATTCAAAAATATTGTCTTTTTGCGTTTAGATAACCTTTCGTTAATTTGTCATATCCTATAAACATATTTGTGTTATGTTAGTTTTGTATAACTTGAGTAGTTTTTTTGTACATTATTTTTTCACGTCAAAAAGAAAAGTTAGTTTTATAGCGAAAGAAAGCGTCGACTCAACTGATGTTGAATCAATTAGCAGTAGTACAAGGCTTAGTAGTTTGAAACGGTTATGAAGACGGAACAATAGGGAGAAAAAAGTAATTAGTTAGAACGTGTTTAAAGTTTTTTTTGACTTTGTTTTTGTAACAGAAATATATTTGACTGAGAATATTGCAAGTATGCAACAAAAGTTCACTTGTTTCTTTACATTCATCTTAATTCACGAACGTATTGAAAATGCTCCTCTGTGGGAAGGTCTGCATTAACTGAATATGTCCCTGGACAGCTTTTTCTTATACTACTTTTCATTACGCGAACATGGATAAGGAAAAAACTTTTTCCATGAATCGAAGCATTGGTAGTTGATCATGTTGATGAAACATTTTATCCTGCATTGTATCGTTCTCACACTCCTCCAGTTTTTACAAGCGTATTGGTTCTTCTAATACTAAGATGTTTCAATTTGAAATCATAAGATAAATTTCATCCAAAAGTCTTGTCTTTAATTTTTTATAAGATACTTGAAAAACGAAAAAATATTTGGTGTTTTTCTTCTGACGCCATACAAACACAAGTAAAAACTTTATTCTCCGGATATAAGTGTTGTGAGATTAAAAATATGAATCGTTATTGAGATGGAATTTTTTTGAGTTACTAGAATTGCCGAGTACATACATCCCTATTGAATATACCTGAAACCAAGTAATTGAATCATTGATAATTTTTGGAGATACTTCAAGTATTTCTCAAGTATTTTCAAAACAAGTAGCTTGTCAAATGCTTGCTAGGTATTTGACCAAGACTGCATACTTGTCAAGTTTCTATCAAGTACCTTCATACTAGTTCGAGTGAAAACAACATAAAACGTCAAGAAAAACTACGAAATTACATTGTTAAGCAACAAGTATTAACATCAGTCAGTTTTTTCCAGTATCATAACTAATCCCGTTTAGTTACATTTACGGTCTAGGTACACCTTTCAAGCTTTTTTTCAAGTCTTATTGAACGGTGCTTCCACCCAATGAACAATCCAAAATAACTGATTTTGTTGTTTTTTATTTACTGCCATTCATTCGACTTTTGCGGATCCATATCACCGGAAAAAAAACAAAGTTGGTTTTGAGTTGTTGAAAAATGCTTTTTTGTATCCAGCACACTTGATAATCCAAAAGATGTTCTATTTTTGGTGAGGGGTACTTCCAAAAGTTTAGGAAAATTTTCAAACCAATATTATTTTCCTATGAAATCTTTTGCGCCGTTTTGTTTCAAAATTTTTCCTAAACTTTTGGAAGTACTCTACGCCAAAAATAGAACATGCTGTATACGAAAAAGTACATTCAGCAACTCAAAACCAACTTTATCTTTTATGTTCCGGTAATATGCAGTAAATGAGAAGTGCAGGAGTTACTGAACAAGAGGACTTTTCTTTGCTTTTTCCTCTTCTCTTTGGTCAGTGAATCCTCTAAGTAAAACGACTTGTCATAATTAAATAACTGAGAGCGTGGGCTTTCTCCCGAAGTACTATTTCTGTTAAGTTCGGGTTCAAAGTAAGTCAGCATCCCTCACCATTTTGAAAATCTTTAGTAATACGGAAGCGACAGTTTTCCATATCAGCCCGCATAATATAGAAATACCTTCTTCATCCTTTATCTAGAATCTCTCTCTATTCGTCCTTTGAAATACGCTTGCTTATAGCATGCACCAGTAATATAACTAGTATTAGGATATCCAGGAAAATTGTTATAATGCGGTTATTAAGAATCGCCCCCGCTTGCGAAAAGTCTCATTTTCTGAAGAAAAGGGCCATTCTTAATAACTGCGTTATAACAATTTTTCTGAATACCACAAAACAGCCGGAAATAACTGCATCACAAGTAAAGTGTGCTGACTCCACTCTCGCGATAACGCACTACCGCTTAGACTACAGATAGACATTCTTCGAATCATTCTAACAGTGAATTTGCTTAAAATTCCAAGGAAAAAAAACAATTCGTGAGTGAGAAATTACGATTACGTACTTAGAAAACTTGTGCTGTGTTATTTAGAATGCATTATTCAGAAACGAAATTAATAGCTGAAATACCCAGGACGGTCAAAACGGTACCGCTTGCGGCCCGTAATATGACATTAATCGATAAAAAACGGCACCATTACGGCCGTAAACGCTCATATCTCACGTAAAATATGCCATAAGCGGACCACCGTAAATATATCGTTTTTTAATCGTTTACTGCTGTTTATGGACTGTTTTGTCGGACCTGGGTATGGGCTTTGACGGCGAAATATGTGCGAAAACTGATGTTTCTTTTCGAAGTGAAATTAAACCCGATAAACATTTTTATACAGAAAATGACAGGGTTGCTAACTGCAAAAATTCAGTCAGATTAATCTAGAATGAGGGATACAATGTTTTTTTATTGAGGAACCATTAGAAAACCGTATAGTTGCAGTAGTTTTAAACAACTAATAATAGCATTCTTTTCTTTTATTGACTATTTTCCTTCGTTCTCTCTCTTTATGCGTGATAGAACAAAACAAAAAGTCATCTTCATTACAAAAGAACGTATTATTATGTGTCATTTTTGAATTTTTGAATAGGCAGTGCGGAACAGTGAGAAATTCTCAAATGAGAGACACTCAGAGAGGCGGATTTCTACGAGGCAGAGATCTTCGAACGGGGAACTGTCCCTCCCGTGGGAAGACACCTGACAACTAGTCACAAGGCTACAGCAAAGAGACTATCGACAAACGTCAGAGATGAGTGCCAGATAATTTTTCTTTCGACAATCGCGACTATCAACGTCATTCAGATTGACAATACATGGACAGTCTCGATTATCGAAAGAAAAATTGTCTGACATTCATCTCTGACAGTAGCAAAAAGGTTATCCGCAGTCTCAAAAGGCAGTTACACGTATTGCATTGATGCGCTAATTTTTGTCTCAGGATGGTGGTTTTCTTTTTCAAGTCTTTGCAACGTGATATTCAGCATGTCTGTACCAATCAACTTTTCTTTCTACTTTCAGTCACTATAGGTAGCAGATACCGACCAGTCAACATGAAGAAAGGAATCCTGCCCAGTTCGTATATGATAGCAATCTGTTGGTGGTTTATTAACTAAAATATTATGACATCGTCTCTATTAAACGTAACCTCAGTTTTTTCATTGACGCTGGTACTCCCATTTTTAGCAACGTTTGTATTTCGTTCCTGTTGTATCGAAAAATTTCAGAAATCAAGTTTGTGAGTTTCGTTACAAAAATATTATATACATCAAGTCTCGGGTTGACAATAGCTCTTAATCTTCTTTGTTTCAATGTTGAAGTAAGAAGTAGATGGATGGAATCTTGCTTAACAAAATGTCTCTCATACAGGTGATATTTTAGGAAAATGAGGTGTATTCTGATAACATAGTTGAATATTTTTACTATTTCTATTTTCCTAACCGAAAGCGCAGGAGACAAAACAAAATTATCGACACAGCTAGATTCCAAGATGTTGCAGAGCTCGAGATGTGTAGTTGAAAAAATGGAAAGTATCAAATAACCATTATGGGATCTCTCTTCAGCTGCAGAGTTACGTGACCAAGTTGTTGGTCTACTCATGAAACATGCCTAATACAAGCAGCTCCTAAATAAATTTTCTTGAAAATAACAATAGATGTTGTTTAGAGAAGTCAGCTCTTCTAACACGTCTTATAATTTTGATCATGAAATTGAAGCGTTCATGGATGTATTTCAGATTAAAGGTTATCACGAGACGAGGCTATTGACGTCATTATGAAATCAGCAAAACAACCACGTAAGCAACAAACACGTAAGCATTTTTCGCTTTTGTTCTCATCATGAAGTAATTATATTTGCTTGTTTACATAGGACTTATTCAAGCATCTAGCCATGTTCAGTGGATGATTATAAGAAATGATTCATCATTTCTTCATAAACGAAAACTTTGCACTCTTACAACTGTGAGTAGATACCATGTGCAGTCATTCTTGTAATAACAAATTCTGTTCATATTTTCCTTGCTAGGAACCAAACAATTTAAAAAATCGAAATTCATTCCGTTTCAATGGTTTGGTTAATAAAAAAGTTATTGGTGTTGAACCAGAAAAAAATGGTAAAGGTGTCGTGTTTTCAACAGGCAAAACAAAATGTATGTAAAGCATATTTTATTTAGTAGCGTATTAGCTTAACCCTCCCATTACTCAGATTCTTCCTGCAACGTAATACAAAAAGTTTGGGGCTCAGTGTTCCTATCCCCTTTCCTTAAGATGACTACGCCGCTAATTTTATTATGTCTTGTAAGGTAAACTGATTTTGAATACGTTTCATTCATTTGTAGATCGTCAAAAACCAGCTAAATCAATCCGAAAAATAACATTTAAAAAAGATGCGCGACGTACATTAACATCAATCCGTCGTACGATTCGAAAACAACGTTATCGTAAAGATCTTAAAATGGTACGTTATATTTAAGAAAAAAGTTCTTAGAAATTTTATATTTTTTATTGTTTCTATTCAGGCTGCCCTACGTCGTGCTAGTGCTCTTCTTCGTGGCCAAAAACCAGTAGTTGTCAGTAAACGTGTAACAAAAACAACATAAATATTTACATCATATAGTAAATGAAAAGAAAAAATAAAGTGCCACAATTATTTTCATTCAATTGTGGTTGTTGATTATGTTTTGTTTGTTTATTTTTTTGTTTTTCATTGGAAAAAGTAAAAGCAATACATATGTATCAACCAAATAAATTTTGAACAAATTACACAGTTCTCAAATAGAATTGTTTGTACTGCATGAGATACTTGACGCTTAGTTTCTCGTCAAATTATGCAAAATGGCTATTTATCTGTTACTAGAGAAAAGGCGAGTTCTTGTTGATTAACCTAATAAAACTGTTAACTGAGTTTTTCGATACGTTAAGTTTCACATTCTCTTTTGGTGTGGTGGTTTCGTTGGAAAGCATGCACTGGTAGTAGACACATATTAATCGAAAGTTTTGGCGATGGGAGGAGAGGGTACCATTCTACATTTTCGGTGGCATTGTGTATAAAAAGTTTTGTTGTGCTAATTAATTTCACTGTCAAACGTTGAATTAACGAGGAAAAACCAAAATATTTAATGCTTTACACGTGTATCGATGATAGAATACTATATCTTATCGCTGATACTCTGAACCTGTTCAGGTCTTCAGAACTCACTGCTCTAGAAAAACTAAATAATAAATAGTAATAAATAGTTTTGAGGTAAATAGATCAGTTTTTAAGTCAGATGTTGAAATTACTACTAGAAAGCCTTTCAAAGGATTTTTACATTGTTGTAACTTTAAATAAAAGTCAACTACCGTTTGTTCATGGTTAAACAAGCCATTTTTTAACTCTACTATAATAAGATAGGATCCGATACAAGTTTGTAGAAGACTCTAGTTTCTTCTCATTCATGATCTGTATGAGTTTGGTGTAACTGAAAGCGTGAATACAATGGATGACAACGTTGCTGGAACGTTTTTTGTCTCGTAAAGTGTTATTATCATAGTACTAGATTGGAGATGTGCAACCCGATCCGACCCGAAGGTTGGGTACGGGTAGAGCAGTTACGGGTACAGGTTCTATTTTTTTTTAATTTACCCGAAAACCGGAAGGCTCTGGTGGAAAAACCACAAAATTTTAGTGGAAAAATACAGGAGTTTAGCTAAAATACATGAAAGTTTAAAAAAGAATTACTTGAAAACGTAATGATAATTCGACATCTTCAGCCGAAAAACAAAAGTTTTTAGCTGGAAAACATAAAGGAGAATATTTTTAGGCATAAATCGGGTATGGGTATAAAGTTCTCGGGTTCGGTCTGGTACAGGTGAAAAAAATTTTCGGGTCGGGTGCGGGTATGAAACTGGTACCCGTGCACATCTCTATACTAGATAGCATAGCTCATCCGATGAAGTTTTACCATTCTACAAAATGGTGTACGTATTTATCGTGATCATATTCTCCTTTTTAAGATTTTGATTATTAATTATGTTAGACGTAGTTATTCATCCATTTGGTGAAGTAGATCCAGAGTTAACCGAATTTATACGATCGAAACTTGAAACACGGTTTAATGTTAATGTCATTATTGGAGAAAATCACAAAACATTACCAGTTGAAATCAACAAAGAGCGAAAACAATATCCCTCAACTCCCATTTTGCGATTTCTTGAAAATTTGAGTACAACAAAAAAACAATCTGTTGCACGTCTTGGAATTGTCACTGTTGATTTATATGTGTCGCATTTAAATTTTGTTTTTGGCGAAGCGTCTGGTAGTACACATGTAGCCGTTTTCTCTACAAATCGTTTAAATCCAACACGTTGGAATGAAAAATTTGATAAACAAAAATTTTTTGAACGTTCATTAGTTGAAGCTGTTCACGAACTCGGACACGCATTTGGATTGAAACATTGCGATAAAACGGATTGTGTCATGTGGTTTTCTAATACTCTTGAAGAAACAGACAGAAAAGGAAGTATTTTCTGTCAGAACTGTATAAATAAATTGAATAAAAATTAAAAATAAATGTTGTTCCATTACTAAGCATTACGGCCGTGTTTTCTTAGTCAAGCATTTTTTTAGTTTTACTTTTATTCTTCATGTATATTACTTTCGAGTTTCTTTTTGCTCGGTTAAATGACCGAATAGATATTTACATTTCTCTCATGAATTTTTTTCTTGAATGATGATTTATTATCCTTGATATGCAGATTCTCGCGATATATAATAAATCAACTATCACAAAGAATTAAATTTTGGTAGTACTTTCGGGTGATTTTTATGAAAAATCCTTTCGAAACCATTAATACTGTTGTTTCATGTTTGTTTGTTCGTTTTTAGACAGTTGTTTTTAAAAAAAGATATTAATATGTCTGATAGTTGCTAACAACAAGTAGGTTTTTCATTTCTTTCTGTTCTGTATGTTTACTCATTGATACTAATTGTCGCTTTTTTCTATCTAGATATACGATTTTCATTAAATTTTTGTGAAAGATATGAATTATCTGCTATCAATAGCGAAATATCATAATATTCAATAGTATTTGCTGATCAATATTAAGCACAAATGAATTATCACAAGTATTCTCCTAGCAGTTGAATTTTTAAAGATATTCTAACGCTGATATTGAAAAATTTGTTAAAATGGTGTAAATATATTTAATGTTAAAGTGTGGGAATGATGGAAGAGCAGAGCAGAATAGATCATCGTTTTCTAAATGTGTTTTTAAAGGAAACAGAATTTTATCTCGTTTTGGGAACAGGATCATAAAACTACAGTGAGCATAAAATCAATAGCTAGCGAGCAGAAAATCAAAACTACAGAATACGCTATTGTCAAGAATTAGTGTGAGATATCATAATTTTCATATTTTATTTATTATTCATTTTTTTAGATGTTATTACAAAACTATTTTCTTTGATGCGTAGGTTTTTTATATTGGACTAAACTGATGTTTTTCTATTTCATTTGTTCACTCTCTAGTAATTTGGAGACGGACGATCACCAAGAGACATGTCTTTTCTCGGGTTCACTAATTGATTATATTTTTCTTTATAGAATTTTTTAATATTAGATCAATCGAACATAAATGGAATCACGTTAGTGTTTCTGCTTGCTGTATCTTCTTGCAACATTTTAAATGCTCACATACAGAGCGGTATACGTAACAACATTTCTTGAATATAAGAACGATTTGTATACTTGTATCTAATTCTAACAGCTATCAGGGTTGTTTTTACATACGATCTATTTAACTACATGTTGTCCCCACTTACTGCAGCATGCTACTAACATCATTAGTAAGTTTACCTTTGAACTTCTCAATAATTTTGAAAAATCGCAAATTTTTCGATAGAGCGACAAAAATCCATAATCAATAAGAAAAATAAAAAAAACAAGAATAACAAGCATAAGACATTTTATGCTCAACGTATGCTATGTTAGACATCCTCCACAAGATAACAAATCTTCAAAGTTTTTACGACGTTCTCTCGCCACGTTACAATTATGTCTTTTCTTCATACGATCGAGTTGATACTTTTTTCCTAGAGACACATGAAACTATGCTCCAGAAGTTCGAGCATTTTTATTTTTGATTTTATATTCGAGAGCATATGAAAGTGGTGTGACACGGTTAAAAAGTTCACCCAAAACTTTGTCTGTTTTATCTACAGAAAAAAGGCATGATTTTCTTGTGCAAGTTTCTACTCTGTTGAAAGTTTCAGCTCGTTCGGTTGCTTTCAGATCGAACCCTAGAAACGTAAGAAAATAGAGAAAAACGTATTCTGAAACACAATTCTCTCAATAGTGGTAATTGGCTCCTGATATAGAGAATCCTTGGTGTTGCAACTGATATAGTTTTTCTTAAAACAATGTCGGAAAGACTTAGGCTGTTCGTCTTTTTCTCTTATTTAAGAGAAAACTCTTGAACGGTGGGAAATCAAAACTTTTAATAATATACTTTTTTCAGATCTTTTATTTTTACCGTTGAAATACAGAATGAATACCGATTTTGTATATTTCTATTTCAAAAATGAACATTAAGTGATTGGTGACATCGCATCTGCTGCTTTTTCAATTTAAAACATGTTTCTAATGTGTAGATGCTTTGCACTGTATGAATGGCTGCTTGATTATCTTGTCAATGCGAAGAAAGTTACTGGAATTTTGATAGAATCATTTATTATTAATGGTTCAGAACTTCTACATATAGTTGTAAAACAAGTTTTCGATGGGGGAATTTGACGTTCATAACAGCAACACGATCTCATGTTCTTCTGTTTTTTACATTTTTTATAATATTAAGTCTGCTTTCTTTATAGTTTTGAATGCGTTTCGTGCTTTGAAAACGGATGAAAATGAGAATGTAAACGAACCAGTATTGAAATCATTTGATCTGAAAGGTGCTGCTGATTATATGAAAAATTGTGAAAATATTATCGTTATGTCGGGCGCAGGCATTTCTACATCAGCTGGTATTCCTGATTTTCGAAGTCCTGATACGGGTTTATATTCACAACTAGAAAAATACAATTTACCATTTCCTGAAGCCGTTTTTCATCTAGAATTTTTCAAAGTAAATCATTAAATCAATTTTTTTTCTCTTATAATAAATAATACAAAAAGATTATGCGCTTTTTAGAAAAATCCTAAACCATTTTTTCTTCTTGCTAAAGAACTTTATCCAGAAAATTTCAAGGTGTGTATCGTAGAATAAATCGTTTTTCCTAAACATGGCAAACGTCGTTTGCTATTTCAGCCCACACCAGCTCATTATTTTATTCGTTTATTAAACGAAAAGAAAAAATTACTCCGTGTGTTTACTCAGGTAAGATTTTTATTAAAAAGTGTAGAGTGAGTGATTACTTATCAATTTTTTAAATATTTTAGAATATCGATTCGTTGGAACGTGTTGCTGAAATACCAGCAGATAAAATTGTTGAAGCACATGGAACATTTTTCACCTCACATTGTATTGATTGTAAAGAAGAATATTCGTTACAGCACGTCAAAGGTAGATTGGATAAAATCGTTGTATATAAGCAAAGTTTTTGATCATTTAATGTTGATATTTATTCAGACATAATATTCAAAGATGAAATTCCAACCTGTTTGTGTGGCGGCATTATCAAACCGGATATTATTTTTTTTGGTGAAAGACTTCCAGACAAGTTTCATACGTTACGAATGAAAGTAAAATGTTTCTTATTGCAAACTATATTATTATAAATATAATATTCATTATCTTATTATAGGATTTTCCGAAAGCCGATTTTCTGATTATTATTGGTACATCATTGATGGTGGCACCATTCAGTCATCTTATCTCAAAGTACGTAACTTTTAATGTGATCAATATTTGCGGTTTTCCTTGTTATCGCAGTCTCTACGCCGATGATTATGTTCCGTTGTATTTAATATCATTTAGTGTGAACAGAAATTGTCCTCGATTGTTGATAAATATGGAACCAGTGGGTATTAAATCAGCAAACATTGTACGTGTTTCTCTTGGCTTTTTTTTCATATTGGCGTACGAATATATTTTTCGCACAATGTATTTTTCTAGTTTTCATCAGAACCATTAATGTTTAATTCAGATAGAAATCGTCGTGATGTCTTCTATCAAGGATCATGTGACGATGGCGTATTTGAATTAGCAAAACTGTTGGATTGGGAGGTACGGATATTTGACAAAAGATACTGGCTGATAATGTTATTAATGAACATAGGTTTTCATTCGTGTAGGATGATTTTAAAAAATTGCTAGAATCTGTTGGTTCATCAGCAGCTCAAAAGAAAGTCGCTACAACGTCGAAACTGGCTGAAGAAGACACGATAACTCCAGCTGTTGCTACTGCTTCTGCAATCTCAAAAAAGTTGTCTAAATCTCATACTGGATCGGAAAAACAAAAAGATCGATCTATATCACCTAAGAAAAACTCACCAAATAGAAACCGTAATTCTCCAAACGGCAGTCAATTGAATGAAGCAATTAAAAATGCTGATGAATTAGCAAAAGAAATGGCAGAAGTAGTATTAGAAGATGGTCAATTAAATGATGACAAAAAAAAGCAGTAAAGGAGAGCTGTAATTAACATAATGAACATTCCACAGTTTTTGTTATTCCAGAAAGATATATTTCTCGTTTTTATTGTTATTGATATGTGATTTTTTGTTCTTATAAGACAAAAATTTGTGTTTTGCGTTTTTAGTTCGAAATGACTCATATACTGATTTTTATGTATCGATTATTTTATGTAAAATTTTTTTTTGCTATTTATTAATAATATCATTCTTATCGTTGTGCCAAATTTGTTTCAAGTCAATATTGGTTTCTTGGTGTCAAATTTTTTACTTGTACTGGAAGAAACAAGAAAGAAAACAGACACTACACTGTGTTAAAGTTTTTATATAGTCAGTGGTCAACATACTATTATGTTTGTTATAGAAAATGTCTTCGCTTTAATCTCTCGGTTCAATTAGTTGTAGGATCACGACAGCAATACGCAATGAACAGAAGTTTATACTGCAGTTTTGACCTATTGAAAAATATCGGTTGTTGGTCCATGTAGAGAATTATTCGTATCGTTTTTGTTGCACCCCGATACTTTCGTTCCGGCTATTCATCTGGGCATTCAGAACATTTTACTTAAACATCAGATTATAGAGAAATGTTGTCTCTACAAAATGAGCAAAAAAACTGAAAACGTATTAGTTTATAGGCAGCGTGGAGACATATCCCGATTAAGATATAAAAAAATCTATATTCCAATCAGGATATAAAAAAAATTTTGTTGCTTAATGTAATTTCTTACTTTCACATTGACATGTTTTTCATCAAATCTAATTAGTTTGAAAGGGTTGTTGCCGTATGCATGAACACTTTTTTCTGTCCATGTCCGTCTATGTCCATCATTTTGTCCGTGGAATGTTCGCATTTTTAAGACAAGTTTTGCTTATGAAAATTTAGTTATATGACGCAACAGAGGATTTGAGCCAGAAGTTGGCTGATACGGAATGAATTTTTTACAATTATCACATTGAACAAAATTTTGAAGAACTGTATCATGATATATGAGAGAAAATGTTTTCCAAGCTCGACTCGATAAGCGACTCCTTCAGATTTCTCAATTTGAATACTTAAGCTCTTTTGTCTAATTAATTCTTACAAATCTTTCTCATTCATTTTTAATGCTATTATGGAGTGGAAAAGATATTTATTGTTTTTTTTCGAGGAAGCAAAAAACGTCGAGATAAACACGTTTTTCTTTTTCCCGTGTAGTAAAAACATGTGCTGAGAGAAGCAGAACAGAAGAAAAAAGATATTGAAATCTGTCTTTCAATACTTGTGTTTATTTATGAAAAGGAAGAAATAGAAAAAGACGGTTGGGGTAGAAAGCGATTAGATCAAGAGTATATCCCATTCTGAGCAATAAAAGGTTAACCACCTATATCCTGATCAGGATATAAATTCGACTAAAATTTGTTAAAAATTTTGTTCGAAAAAATAGTTGCTTGGTTGCTTGACAGACTTTTGATCAAACAACAGAATCCGATGTAGTTCCGATGTAGCTCTTTCTAATGGTGAGATCAATTTTTTCCCATAACATCGTCATTTTTCCCTTAATTGTTTTTACGACAAAATTTTGTATCTTATATCCGGATTGGAATATTAATTGTTTTCTATATATCAGGATATAGAAGGTGTCCCCTTACTGACAGCGGAAACATTCTCCTAAAATCTGATGTTTAAATCAAAAATTTTGAGCAAAAAATTGGTAGAGAAAGTATGAAACAGGTACTGGAAACTCTCAGCTCCATGCTACGCTTTTTTAGAGATCGTCAGGAAGAAATTATTAAGTTTAAAGTTAGAGTTTTTGTACAAACTCGGAGCTTAAAATTTGCTGTACCTTATTTGATATGCACTTAATTATTTATATATTTACTTAAAGGACTGGTGAAGAAAAATAAGAATATTTTCAGACAGCAAATTACGGCACTTTGTTCTCTGAAAAACTTTATCTCTGTCACAGTTATATGAGATTTTTTCGAATCGATTAACTGAAATTGACATTTGTATATATTTCATAAATTATCTCAATATGAAAATGTGGTTGCATATGAACGTCTTGCTAGATTTCCGACATCTATCTATCATCATCATCTATCTATTAATGACATAGAAGGAAGAAAACTAAACAAATCTGACCTCACTGCCTCAGAAAAAAAACATTAAAAACAAAGACTTTTTCTGAAAATCTTCATCGTTTTTTTCATTATGAATCACCATCCACAAGCTCTCTTTTATGTTCTGCTCTTTAACGTGTGAAATTCATGAG